CCCCCCCTCTTTACTCCCAATTTTCCCATTCTTTACTGCTAAATAACCAACAATTTTTCCTTTTACCACTTTTAATTAGTCATCTTCTAATGTTTTCAAAGGGTACAAATATGCAGAAGTATAAGTCCTAATCGAATTAAAATTTGTAATGGGAGTACATGTAACTAAGCATATAACTCCTGTATCTCTTCTCATTAAATGAATTGCTTAGCATAAATTTAGTTCATTTTAGTGTTGGAAAAGACATTCAAAATCAGTAGTTTACGTGTTTTACTTATTACAATCAATTCCAAAAATACAAATCCATTGATTTAGCGAATAGTTGTCAACTGATCACGCCCAACTATGCCTTATAAAAAAGACTAAGCGATCGATACAAATATAATCCGGTTTACAAGTCCGAGACGAATCCCACAGAGAACTAAGGCTTAGCTACAGCTGTTCGCTATCACCAAGAAGACAAGCGTGGACAATTCCTAACGTATAGATATTAAGATTCTTATGTTTAACTAATTAACTAACAAATTAAAATAGTAAATTAACAACTAAAGATACTAAGGGTTAGAGACAAGATTAAGGAGGTCTAGAGTTATGATTTCCCCTATTGTCGGAATCCTTCCCGCTACGTTTTGTATAAATTCGCCTAAGTATTCACTACCGATCATGAGCGCTCTGACTGTCGTAACTCTCTCCCGAGTAATTACCACAATTTACTAGATATATTCTCTCGAATTACGCTAACTGGCATTAAATACGGCTCGCTCAGATCGCACCCAAGGTTTCGTTATCCCTAATCCCACCTTTAAGCCCTTCGTATTGATCCCTCATATATGTTAGGAGTGATGTTGTTCAACAACTGCCAAAATATGCACTCTCTCCCGAGTAATACACACTAAATAGGCACAGTCGATTGAGAGTTATTCAACCAACCACAATAATAATATAGTTGAACAAATAGAGAAAATACTATGGCTAATCTATATTAACGTAACAAGAAAATCATCCTTCAATAGGTTCCATCAAAACCCTAGATAACAAATTAGCTATTCATAATAGTATGAAAAACTACAATACTAGAATTCATAACCAATAATGAAAATAGGAGGAAGGAAGTGAAAAATTCGTAGAAGAATTCTCCACCTTGCTACTAATGTGTTCTTGCCTCCTTCGGTCGAATCCCCAGTCTCCTTAGCTTCCTTAGGTCTAAATTATGTCAAAAGTCCTCAAAATACCATTTTTCCATGTACATATACCAAGCAGGGTTGGGCCCAAACAATTATACCTTCTCCTACGCGAAAAAGGACACTTTTCCCGTACATGACGTGCGCGGCCGCGGTTGGACCGCGCATATCCACTTTGATTCTGCCTGACGAGTGCGGCCTGAGTGCAGCCGCTCACTTGACGCGCACTTTTTACCCTGTTTTGTTGGGAATTTGGAAAAATGTAAAACATGAAAGTTGTAGCCCTTTGAGTTAGCTTTCCAACCATGTATTGTGGAGCCCAAATGGAGTTCTGAGCGAAAAGTTAATTGCATTTTACTAGACAGTGTGCAATATGCCTACTCGATTCGCCGTTCATTCTTAATTATCATCCGTTGATCCCCGAACACGATCCCGGCTTAATTCCTTGAGCTTTTACTCAGACTTCAAAACTCTAAATCACTTGAATCATTCCATAACATCTACATAGCTCGGAATTACTCCTACAAGGCATAAAACACACCATTAGTGCAAAACACTAGCGATTAAAGCTCAAACTCAATTAAAGTGCAATAAATTGGAATGTAACAATCGACTAAAATACGTAATTATATCCTATCATCATCAACAAATCAATCAGCTTTAAAGTCGATCTCAAAATTCCTAATCAAAAATTCCCTTCCATTCAAGAAACGTATTAACTGAACTTCTTTTTATAAATGTTTTAAAATTGTGCAGATGTTACATGTGGTGAAAAAGGAGTACTAGCAACCATGCAAAAGGAACAAACCAATCAAGAAGATCATATTCAAGATCCATTCATGGATTCATCAAAGAAAACCCCATCAGAGATTGAAGAAGAATCTCAAAACATTGCCTCTGAAACTTCCACACTCACCACAGATTCACCAAAATTCCAAGAAGAAGAAGAAAAAGATTCAGAAAACAAAACGAAACAAGAAAAAGTTAACATCTTTGAGAACAATTCTTCTTCTTTTTCTTCTTCCTCTTCATCTTCATTTGGCTCAAAGAAAACCAAGAAGAAAACTGAGGATCATGTTAAAGAAAATGGAGAAAAGATTAGTACTACTCCTAGTTCAGAAAAGCCATCGAAAAATCCAAGTTTTAATAAGAGTAGAAGTTATTCAAATGGAGCTTCAAGTATTTTCAGGAATTTGATCACTTGCGGAGCTGTGGATACAAATGATTCTGGAATCATTCCAATTCGAAAAAGTAGGCCTTCCTTTAGTAGCTCTGGTGAAAAAGCAGTGAGTTTTTCGTCTGAGATTTATAAAGCTGAGAAAGTTGGAGGATCTCAAAGGATTTTTGGGACTGCTTGGAATCAACAGCATCAACATACTAATGGAAGGTAATTTTTTGCATTTACATTTTCACTTATTTATCAGATTATTCCTTTTTAATTTCTTAGCGTATATTAGTGATTGGTTAATTAAGTTCAATTCAGAATATTTATATAAAAAAGAGTGTGTTCACAAATAATACACAGTTGATATCGCGAGAACAGAAATGTTATGGATAGTACATGAACAACAATGATATTATCCTTGACATTGGCATGGGCGTATCCAATGTAGAGGCTACGGGTTTGCGCATATCCAGTATTTTTGTCCCAATTTTTTTTAAAATATGTACATATAATAAATTTTGAACTCATTAAATTTGACGGGATATTGAACTCATAAAATTAAAATCCTGAATTTGCCTTAGGACATTGGTGTCATATTGCTTGACATACATTATACTCCCTCCGTTCACTTTTACTTGTCCATTGTTAACTTTGCACACCCCTTAGGATATAACAAATAAAGTGCAGAACTTATCATGATACCCATATTAATTGGTGTATCGTCTTAATGGATTTGGAAAATGATTTGGAATGCGTAATTCATTAAGGGCAAAACAGGAAAAATAAATTGTTTTTCTTTTAATATTGCGAAAAGTGATAAGTGCAAATAAAAATTTACTTTTAGAATACTTGACAACTAAAACTGAAAAGAGGGAATACTTTTCTTTCTAACATTGATGTAGTTGGTTGACAGTTACTGTATTTAATGAATAGATTATATTTTTTCGGTTGAGAGCATAATATAAGTACTCTCTTCGGTCCAAAATAAGTGATTTTTTGGCCTTTTTCTTGTGGTCCTAAATAAGTGATTTTTCCAGATTTCAAGAATGAATTAATTATTTTTTTCCTACATTGTCCTGGGAGTAAATAGTGTTGGAATATGTGTTAGGAGTGTTTATGTGAGATAGTAAAGGTTAATATGGTCAATTCTATTGCTAATTAATGCTAAAAGATGAATTTCTTAATCTGTGTGAAAACATCCAAAAAATTACTTATTTTGAACCAGAGGGAGTAGTTACTAGTACTAAATATGGGTGCACTTTTTATTAAAATCATTTTCTTGTCAAATGATGGAGTACTTTAAATTTAATGTGGATTAATTAATTGTGGGTTAAAATTTGATTGCAGGAAAAGTTGTGATGGGGCATACAGTTCGTCAAAGAACAAAAATGAATTTGGTAGTCGTAGATCAGTTTCTGCTAATTACAAGCCAGTCAATGTACCCAATTGCTCGTAAGTTCCTTGGCAATAACTATACATATCAAAATATTCCTTATTACATTCTCGATAATCATAGTCAAAATTTTGAAGTTTGAGTGCCTTTAAAATTAAGACGTACATAGGGACTTGAAGAGTGTGACATTTTTTTTTAACCTCCTGTCTTTTCTGTTCCTTATCGTGAATCTACAACGGCAAAATTCTTGCACAAATACACAAAGTTCCATATCACATTCTACTTATTGCTATAAGCAAAGTACTTCCTCCGGTCGAGACCAATTTGCTTTTGACATACTCATTAAGAAAATATTAAATTCTAGACGAAAGTAGTTAGCGAGGCTAAACTACCTTTATTAAATGTTGCACCATAGTTATATTAGCACTTATTTCTCTTCTCAAATGTGAGGAGTAAATGACTTTTTAGGGATATGTACATAAGGGTAATTTTGAAAAAATAAAAATTGAATCTTTTTTTGATTATATAAATGGATATTTATTTTGAACTAAAATAAAAAAGTAAATTTGTCACTTATTGTGGACTGGAAGGAATAATATTTTTGAGCTCAAGTGTTTAAGTAGTTTTTTTGGAGGTACCTTGGTGTATGCGATAGCTTTAGCATACTTTCATTATTCCTCCTAATATTTTTTATGTCCCACTTACACAAATCAAGAGTAACTTTGCCGATCAAGTCTTAAATAGAAGAGAAAATTCCATAGCTTTTTCTGAGTTGCGTGTTTAGTTCTTACAAAGAAAAATCGTAATTCTTATTATATTGCCTGTCTAGAATTGGAGTGAGCTAGCAGACTTCTTCCATCTTAAGTATTATTCCTTACCAAAAAAAAATTAAAAAGATAAAGCTAATTGTAATCAACCACCCAGCTAACCCGAGTCAGCCAAAAGAAAACTGGTAAATGGTAACCTTGTGATTAAGACCCTAATATGTTTTACTAGATCTATCTTCTGTGCCAAATCAACCAAAATGGGAATCTGTAGGTCAAAGATTTATCTTTTTTAGTTTTACTTTGACCTTTTCAGTCCACTTGGCCAAAAAATAACTCTTTGAATATGATTTTACCTTTTTCTTCTTTGTGTAGAAAAAAAAAGACAAAAACGTCAGCAGTATTAAATTTATTACTGTGGTTGCAGGCAATGTGGAAAGCCATTCAAGCCAGAGAAACTTCATACCCACATGAAATCCTGCAAAGGGATGAAAGCTCTGGCAAAGGGTTCTAATTCTGCTACTGAGAAGACTTCCAAAGATGCATCAAAAGTGGATTCTGTTTCTGGAACCTATTTGACTCATTAATTAAATGCCAGCTTTCATTTTTTTAAATTATCTTCTTCAACTTCTTTTTGAATTAGATTTAAGTTTTTTATTAAAACTTTGACAAGCCTTCTGTGTAAATTTTTGAGTAAGAAGGTCCACAGGCAAAATTCCATGCAATTCAAGAATGTAGAAGTCAAGTCTCCTTTACTTGCTTTCAGTAGTTATAATCCTGGTTTTCAACCTTAATCTCAAGTTCTAAACTATACTCATTGCTGAAGCTCAAACTACTATATACAAACCAAATTAATCGAGCCAATGGATAAGGAATACCGGATGATTAAACAGAAAAAAAAAAAAGAAAAAAAAAAAAAAAAAGGGGCTTAAACTTACCAAATGACAAATGAATTTTGATGGTTGAAGGCAACAAAAATACATAGGAGGCAGTGAATATTTGGAGACATAGCAAACTTGTCAATGTGGTAAATCTTCGATTTAAGTTGAGTTTCCCAATTCAAAGAAGCAATGAAGCTAACTTCTATACAATTGGATACTGAATCACTAGCTACATCTACTCTCTTAATTTCTTAGAGCCTCTGCTAAGTTAATGCTACAGCAGTCAGAAAGATGAGACCATCAACTAGGTATTGTGTTAATGACCATATTCATGTTTCCAGGAAATATCTAAATCTGATGGCATCAGTAGTTAAGACCATCGCTGATTACTTACCTCCAAGAATGGAGGAGTCAATATGATCAAGCAAAAACCTATATAACTTCTTTCTTAATCCCTCTACTCTCTCATCTACTCGGCTTCCTAACTTAACCATGTCGTCCAACCACTGATTGACCCTTTTCAGCTGACCAAGAAGACCTGGAATTTCAGAATTCCCTTCCACGGTATTCAGCCCAAATCCCTTGTTCAAAGAATCTTCTAAAAAGTTCAAGAACCAAGCACGAGACGAAGCAAGCAACTTTTCAGATAAAATTGCAGACTCCTTCAGCCCACTCCCTTTGGACCATTGTTCTCTTTCAGTTTTCGTCCTTCTTATAGCTGGTAAATGCTGCTTCGAATGAGATACTGATCTTCTTCCACTAGAATCATGACCAGATGGCCCATTGGTTTTAGGGCTTTGCTTGTTTTTAGGTGACTGGTTCTCTGCTTCACTATTCTTTGGATTGTTTTCTAATATAATATAATGAGACTTCTCATTATCTAAATTCCCCTTCTTGCCTTCCTTTATGAACAAACAGAAACTGGAAAGCTCGGAATCAATTGCAGCTTGAATCCAAGAGGCTGCATTCTTATTTGTAAAATTATGGCAAATTTCTGGAAAGGGATTCGGCAGACAGAACTTGTCACTGCCTTTTGCTTCAGGAGTTCTTCTCGTCACCAATGATTTTACAACAGCCGCTGCTTTCTGCATGTTTTCATGAAGGTTCAAATATTGCTCCACCAGTTGTCCAGCAGGTACTTTCTTCGATGATTCACACAGTTCTGCAAACATACTGTAAAGAGGTAGCTGGTAAGGAAAGTGTCTTACCTTTTATGTCTTAAGGACTGAACATAATTCAGAAAAAAAAGAAGACGTTATCACCGCAGTGGAGATTTTATATCACAATATCAATTCAAGACGGTATTCAGATAATAACCAATCCTTGGCACCTGAAGAGTGTTTCCCTTAAAATTCAATCTGATGATTACTTTTGGGTAATTATTCATGTGCATAACACGAGCCAATGGGAAATTGTTAAAGAAAGGTATACATTGATCCTAACAGTCTTGCATGGAACCTATATATAAACTATGTACCTGTTGCAAGATAACATTGTAGTATGAGCACTCAGGTTGAGCGACATGTAGTGAATTAAAATGAAAGTACATAATCAAGATTGGGGCACATAGCCGTATAGTAGAGCTAAGCAAACAAGACATTACGTGGAATTTATTTATGAATACACACCAATAAATGATGTATCTCATTTTATGCTCAAAAGGTAGAGCTTACATTCCAGTAGTCTCAAGTCAAGTATCCATATAAATACATGTGAAGTAAGTAGAGACATCAAAAAGAAAAGATGAACTATTTACCTCATGCACTGGATTACACCTTCAGCAGCAGCAGATTCTTCTAGTGCATGCATAGCAGACAGAAACACGACATTCCTATAACTCGTAACTTCCTGAAGATTATAATTCGCAATTTGATAAACAAGCATAATACTAACATAGACTAAAAAACTACAACTTCATATTCCTTATGTACCTTGCCAAGATCACGAACCGTTGATGGAAGTGAACTCCATGAAATCCTAGAGTCGGACCAATTCTTAAAACTGAGTGCCACCTTAGTCAGATTGCATGGAAGAGTCTCATCTTGTAAAAGGTCTAGATCTTTTCTAGTGGGCTTGGTAACTGATCTTGGCGAGACAATAATATTCTTGTTTGTAAGTGGTGAAATACTTGCAGTTGAATGTCTTGGTGTTGAAACTTTGTCAAAAGAAGGCTTTTTCACAGAAGGAAGCTGCAAAATATCGACTCATCCAATTCAAACACAATCAACACAACATAGGCGTGAATTTTTCTTAATAGGACTTGGTCAATATAAAATGACCAACTAAAATTTCAGATTCTTCAGATAAAAACAGCATTAGTAACATGATTCCTGATGATTCACTATCCGCGTTCTATAAGATACTATGAGAAGCCATACAGGAGCAAGCCATGTAACTACAGGATACAATTCTTAGCATTTCCAAGGTGACGAAATAGCCAGGTAACTTGAGCTACAACATTGTGTTGCAGTATCAGGATTTAGCATGAACAGATTGATCCAGTAACCAATCCATCCGTCCATCCATTATCGAACCGAAAGAACCTCCACATTTTTAGGGTTTAAATCTAATCCAGATATGAACTTAATTAATCTGATCTCTTTGAAGAAACAGACAAGGACAGTGAAATTAACCTAGTGCATCATTGTCTGACCATTTCTGCCCTAGGTATAATACTAGAATCAGCGCATTGACCTAAAAAGAGGAAGGGAAAAAAAAGGACCCTCCTACCAAACACAGCAGTAATGGTAAAGATAAACAGTAATAATAATGCAGTTGATAACAACATTAAAGCACAAAACTAACACCTAAAAAGTAAAACTTTACTACTTTCTCAAACCTAAAATAAATGAAGTCAAATTCTGCCAAAAGCCCATCAAAAACCTACAAGTGGGGTAACTTACAGAATCCGAACCCGAGAACCCGCTTTTGGATTTGGACCTAGGTGTAGCTCCAGCACCATTTTTCTCACCGGGGCTCCGATCCCATCCTTTTCTCACTGAATCCAAACTCAATCTCCTCATCTCTAACCCTTCCACTTTCCCATTTCCAACGGACTGCCTTCTTGATTTTATATCCCTATCCTCACTCACAACCACTCTGTTCACCTTGGTTTTAACCTCGACCCGTTTCACTTCAGCATTTTTCTTCCCCCTTTTCGGGTCGGGTCGGTTGCGGGCAGTCAAAAAATCACTGGAGATCAAATCTTTAGGATCGCCAACACATGGACGCCTCTTGGGAACCGGCTTCACGCCACGAAGAACCGGAACAGGGGAACCGGAGTCAAGCCGGTTCACGTGAATGAACTGACCGAGCTGGATCTTGTCACTCAGTATCAAATCAACATCTTCTTCTGATACAGAAACGTACGCTGAATGCTGAGAATCTGATACCCTTAGATAAAATCCCCTGCTTTTCCATGGATCATCACCAAGTGATGGAACTATACTGATTACCTGAAAACCCCATTAAATAAAAAATCAAGAAATGTCCATAACAACGTGTTAGATATGTATAAATGCACCTAATAGTAAAATTTAGTTTTTGAAAGGAGCTTAAAATAAGGAGGCACGTGACTTGCCTGAAGAAGAGCAGAGCGGTGCTCACCAGCAACTTTGGTTTGTTTATCATCGAGATGTTGCAAGAGTTTAAGCAAAATACCAGGCGTTAGAGACGCCATTAATATTACAATGAGGAAGAAGAGGAACAAAGTTCAGAAACTGAAGCAAAAAGAACAAAGAAAGAGTAACAAACATGGCAGTGTAAGAAGAGAAGGGGTAAAAGGGAAAGAAACAAATGGAATAGCAGCTGCAAGATTTGAGAGAAGTGGAGGGGGTATAGGGAAGAGTGAGTTTAGAGGGGGAATCTCAAAACGGTGACATTGGAGGGAGAGCTAAAGGACACGTGTCAAACGGGGATGTGGTCTTTAGCTGACAGAAAGTTGCAGAAATAAGAAGAGAGAGAGGGAGGGAGAGAGGGGAATCAGGAATGGGCGCAGATATCAGAGAGTACATCCAGAAGCCCAGTAGTAAAAGACAAGATTCAACTAAAAAGGTAGTAGTATGCTCCTACGTGACACTGCCAACTATTATTTGTTTCAACTGCTCGGTTTTGGATTCCCTAAATTATTAAATGTGATTATTTTGTTCCTAAGTTTTTGGAAAAAAAGAGTTGGGAATAATTGTAAAAAAACTTTATAAACTAAGGAATTTCTTCATTTTATTTCATCACCTAGCATACTATGCTTAAGTTAGCAAAGCAAAATCTATATTAACTTGGCCGTAATGCGCATTGTTGTTCAATTTTTGGCGACAACTCATATTTGTAAGTAGTCATCACTGCTTATTAGCTAGGCCAAAATTTTCCATAATATTTTTGTTCACATTATTTTTCATTAAAAGGAAAAAAACTACTTTTCCCACTTACGTTTTTCTCTGATTATTCATTTAAAATAGTTTCTAAATTTTAGTCGAGTTAGATAGTGAGACAAATTGGCCAGAAAATATTTTATGGAAAATATATCATAAGAAATGAAACCAAACTAAAGGACAAAGAGGTACTTCAACAAATGATACTCATGATACGATTTATCCAACAGACGGAGAAAACCATAGACCCTAGTCAAGATAGTGACTCTTCAATTGTGGTAACCTGACATCTTTTATATTGAATACCGGGAATTTTTTGATAGCAAAAGATTTTGAGTCAGTTTGGATTAGCTGATTTGAAGTAACTGATAATTATTAGGTGCTGAAAAATACTTTTAAATATTGAAACTGATTTAATAAATAAGCAGTTACGTGTTTGGATACAAATGCTGAAATTGATAATAAGTTGCTGCAGCATTTGATAAAAAAGTGCTGATAAGCTATTTTTCTGTTAAAATGACTTGAATAACCTTAGAATTGTTTACACTTATAAGGGCATCATTTCTTCAAAATTTTAGATTCCAGATCGATTCAAATACAAAATATTCTATTTGTCATTTTATTTTAAATACAATTGTGATTAGATAATTATGATAAATACAATTTATTTTATGATAAGCATATAGTCATAAGTTATTTATAATTAATAAATTGACAAAAGTTTCTCAGTAAAAAATAAATCTATATAAAATAAAATATTTGAAGAGAAACACCGTCTTCATCACCACAACACTTAGAAAGGAATATACCAAAAATTTGATACGTCCTCGTTTATTACATACAGTTCAAAGATTAATACACAATCACATAGATACAAATATGCAAAGGAATAGAGAATTTGCTTACCTCAAGTAGTCAATGACACTGCAGACATGAAGAGGCGGGGGTCTAGGTTGAAAAAACACGTGAGGCAGTGAGTATCGATGTAGGAGTTTTGTTTTGAAAGGAATATTTTTGGGATAAAATAGTAAAATTCTTGGTCAAACTTAAAGTGCTTATAAGCTAAAAATTCATAAGCTAGGGGTGACCAGCTTATGGCTTTGGCTTATTTTTGGTTTATAAGCACTTTTAACTTTACCAAACACGTAATAAGTCAAAAAGTGCTTATAAGCTAGTTTGACCGGCTTATAAGCTTAGCCAAACACCCTCTTTATTCTATTTTGAATCTTCTTTTTTCCTTCTTGATGGTCAGTTAGTAAGTTGTAGTTTAAAGAAACTGGCCCTAGTAGTTACTAAAAGTTGCATACACCTCCCATTTCTTTTTTCTTTTACTATTCTTGCGTTCTCTATTCATAGGCCTTTCCGTGCATCAATAGCCACTTTTAAACCCGTTATTTAAAATATATTCATAATTTATAATGTATTTAAAATTAGTCAATTTACCCAAAATTCAGGACTAAGTATCTTGAATTTGGAAATTCAGGACTTAGTGTCTTGAATTTTTTGAGCTGCTAATTTGAAATTCAGGACTATAAGTATCCTGAATTTTTGACTACTAATTTAAAATTCAGGACATAAGATTCGAACTTTTGGACACAATTTTCAAAACTTTAGGACACGATGTCCTGAAGTTTGAACTTTGAGGTACTCTAGGATGTCGTGTTCTGAAATTTGAGCGAAATTGGCTAATCTTTATATAAATTTTAAACTGTGGATATATTTTAAACAACATGCTTAAAAATGGCTACCTGATGTCATTTCCACCAAACATGAAGGAAAAGAAATCAAAAACATTTAGCTGGCATTTGAACATAGATTTGGTTGAAACTCAAAAAAGAATTTTTGAAGTTGTGTTGAAAAATATTTTTTGGAAATTGAAGTTATGTTTGAACATGCATTTTACTTGAAAAACTGTGAAGTTTCGTTAGTGGAAGGGCCAATTTTTGGAACTTGAAAAATTTTCTTCAAAGTTTTTTCAAAAAAATGGCTAATTTCCTTAAACAAACAATGTTTTAATTTTTTTTAGTTAAAAGGTAGCCAAAATTTATATCCAGCCGAGAGCTTAATAATCTGAAAAAGGCTAGCAATAGTTAAATATATTGATGATTCCCATGTGCTCAAAAAAGTCCGTCTATCTCTTAACCCTATACGATTCTATGATCTATAGCATATAATTTCCTTTTAATTTCTAAACTACAATTTTACCATTTTTTTCGAAAAGTTTAATCTTTTCTTCGATGCCATTAGAAAACAAACTGTATAGAAAGAACGAAGGTTCATATCAATTAGCTATTCATCATAGTTTATAAATTGATTTCATGGTAGTAATACATGTATTATAAGCAAAGACAGATCCAGGATCTAAACTTTATGGGTTCAACCTTTTAGATTTATAGCATTGAACCATTATATTTTTAAAGTTATGGGTTCATATATATTATTTATTGTAATTTTAATATATTTTTACACATAAATTTATATTCCACAATGAAAGTACTAAATTCAGTTGAACCCGATACTAAAGGGCTGTATCCGCCCCTGTAATTATAAGAACATTTCTTTCTAAATGGGCACTGCCCTCTTGTTGAGCCTTTAGTAATTGCTTTTCATTCTCATGCTCTCTTTTTTTTTTCTTGAAAAAACAGCTTACAAGAACAATATTTATATAATCGTGTCACTTATAAAATAATTATAGGTAATTTTAACCATAAGCATTAATTAATAATTTAATAAATTGTTAGCTATCTTATAATCAAAAGTTAAACTGTATTAATAGGGTAAAAATTTCTTGATACCATTAGCAAATATAATTTAGACCGTCAAGTAAAAGTAGATGTGAGTTGGATCACCGATAATTCGGTCAATTTTTTTTCTCTATCTGGTTATTCCATTCTTTATTTTTTATACAAAAAAAAAAAATCCAGTGTAATCATACAAAGTGGGGTTTGGGAAGGGTAGTGTGTATACAGCCCTATCCCTACCTTGTGAAGATATATCTTCGGTATAGGGAAAGCATAGTAACATCACCATTTTTTATTTTTGATAGTTTATGTCGAAAATTAGAAATAACTAGTTTTGTTCAAAATAAAATATTGATTGGGTTTCACTCTTTTAGCCCTTTTAGCACAATCTTTAACGGTCCATCTTGAGTTTAGCTCATTTTGAGTCATCCATAGTTACTCCTATCTCATTCAAATAATAACCTAACTTTAGACGAGTTGAGCATATTATATAAGCTTAGGCTAATATTGACACATCTTGCATCAAGAGAAATAAAACAGGATTTTTAGGGTAACAATAAGTATTTACAAATAACTAGTCTTAGGGTACGCGCTTTGCGCGTGTACCTATTTCAAGGGGTACACAATTTTAAAAAAATTACATAATATGTTTGAGTTATAAAATAAAAATTTAAAAACGATAAATTTTTGAAAATAATGAATGTTAATTTCACTTAGCTAACTCAATGAAAAAAAAAGCGTGCTCCACAAAAGTCCTAAGATGCCTTATTGTGACTTCAAAATTAGTTTTTTTTACCCAATATACAAAACACATAAACCACAAAACATAATTTTCAAATAAACAAATTTAAAAGTTAAATCTTTTGTTATTTTAGAGATTTGAAAATAAAGAGGTTGTCCTATATCATAGAAAAAATCTATGGTAATATGATGCAATATCTAAAATGATTAATGTTGAATTAATATTTTACAAAAGTAATTTAATATAAAAAAAATACAGTGAGCTATCATGTGTTGAAATAAATGTGAGCAGAAACAAAAACTAATTATAAAATTAATTCAATTTAGAATGCATTTTGTTCAATTTGACTCTTAATACTACAGAGTAACTGTTTTGCTTTATTTTTGATATCGTCCATTATCATTGCTTCTATAAAAATAAATTCATCTAGCCTAAGAGTTTTCTCAACTTGAAAAATAAATTTACTTATATAATGAATTTGAAGAAAAAATTGAATTGGATACTTTTAATTTCTAATTAGTTAATTAATATAGAAATTAATTATTTGTTCTCAACCTTAAAGGAAATAATTTTTTTGTTGATTCAAATTCATATTGGATCATCCAAGCTTTAAATATTTAAATGTGACATTAATTTTATCCAAACATTTATAACATGAAAAATTCTAATACCCTTTGAAGTCTGAATTAATATTAATTTATCTAAAGTTAAATTTAGTTAGATACTTTTTGTGATATACTTTAAGTGCCTTAATGTTTGAGTTCGAACATTGTTTGAATAAGAACAAATTTAATAGTCAAATCTTAGAGTTAATTTTAAAGTATTAAAATAATAACTTATCTAATGTTAATTTATCTTCAAAGGATAAATTTATTGATCATTATTGGCATAGCGTCTTCTTGCTTTGATAATAGTAAGTAGTAAGTATATATTTGCAAAACAAAGACAACGTAATATGAATCAATTTAGATTTCGAAGAAGGATGAAATCGTTAACAATCAACGCTTCAAAAGGGTTGAGTTTTTTACTATTAATTTAAAGTAAAATTTAATTGATTTAAAGTCCTAATTTTTAGGTATATAATTCAAATTAGGAAAGATTTAATAACTAAATTTAAACGGATTTTCAAGTCCTTATTATAAGGGAAAT